CACCTCTTTGCTTCTGGTGCGGAGAAGAACTGTCAGTTTGGATCAGCGATATCCATGGTGGGCCGTACGAAGACACTGGCGAGGCACCAACCTGTGATTCATGCGGAGAAGTCGATTTGGTAGTTTCTGGTTCATACTTTTTTCACTGCTCCACTTGTGAAGTCGACCTGTGTCCGGACTGTGGAGACAAGGCAGAAACCTGAGACGGTACGATGCAGGCTTAAGTAGAACACACAAGATCATAATAGATCATGTTATTTTGAACTTCCAACCGGCCCAGTAGGCATTGTCACCAGACCTTGACGCTTGTTTGCATACATGACTCCGTTGGCTTTTATTGGCTCAGCTCGGTTCAGATCTGGTCGCTTGAGGTTGCGAGACTACGTACTGGCAGGGCTTGATTGACGGCTCGAAACTCTGTGGGGTTGCAATGCCGGCTTCACAGAAACAGCATGAATCGGGGAAACTTGGAGAACCAAAGACACGATCAGCAATCAGCACTCAGTAAACCGTCAAGTTAACGCAAGAGAATGCGAGAGAGCCTGTGCGAGGCACGGACATCCCTAAGAGAACCGAGCGCGACGCGAAGTTCAAGATCGGGGAGTTCCGGCACCCAGCCAGTCCACCCATGTCTTAGCCTTGTCACTGAAAGCCAGAAATCCACTCCAGTCTCACAGGTTGATGGAAGTCGTGGGAGTCAAGAGCAAGACAGATTACAACGGCCCGGCCTCGTAACTGCTCATGCAGAGCAGCGATGCGGAGCCCTGATGCCTTCAGGCAAGATTGTCCGCGTGTTGCAGTACCATCCAGAGGCCACGGCTTCACCCAAGATCGAACCTAGCACAAGCACCAAATGCTGTTGTACAGGCGGACAGGTATGAAGTCAAGTTCGAAGGCGGAAGATATGATTCAGTCGCGCGAACCTCACCTTTGACAACGGATACTGTACGGGGCTGTCTTCCTGAACGAGTTGCCAGGTCGTCAAGCTGAAAGAAGAGAACCTCATGTATTCTGCTATGCAAGAAAAGGAAGTCCAAGAAACAAAGGCTGTGACGTCCGTTTGCAGCTGAGGAGGCATGATAGGGAGAATGTACTGGCATCGCAGAAGGACATGCCGGAAGGTGAGATCCCCAACGGCACGAAGGTGCAGATGGTAGGAGAGAGCAGACACTTTAGAGAGGCAGCTCCTTGCGGCTTACATTTGAAAGCGTAAGCATTAACTAACCCATCCCAGCGATGGGGAGGTTGAAGTTCGCGGCTTGCAAAGCGAGACTGCAAAATGGATGAACGGCCTCAAGGCCGACAAAAGCCACAGCTGTGCAAGGTGTGAGCCCTGAAGACAGCTGCTGCAGGCGATAGTCGTCTGCTGGGACAAGGATACGGAAAGGTATGAGGCTTTCGGCTATTGAGCATCACATGGGCAAGTCAGCATGCGCAACGTCGCAGTGCGCTCATGCCAGATTGGTGTGGCAGGTTCGGCTGAGTCTCAACAATGACATCAAGAAGGTTCAGCAGCTCGCGTTGCGTGAAACCACACTGCCAGTACGAGTGCATCTACCGGACACCAGGTCAAGCCGCCGAACCTTCGACTGGAAGTCCCAGAGGGCTGGCAGGAGCGTTTCGCCTTCTCGGCCCTTGCTGTACGCTGGAGATGCTTGGAGCTTCACAGGAGCATTGGGATGATCACTTAGGCCTCGAGCTTACGTGGTTTCACCTGCTTGTTGATGCTGTGGGTGAAACGAAGTATGAATGAGCTCGGAGTGCTGCAAGGTCGCCACTACTACGTCAACCAGACCACTCAGAAAGTAACGTGGAAGCACCCGACCGTTACAAATCAACGCGCGAAGTTCGGACAGGCAGCTGTACCGGCCTGCCAGAACTCAATTGCAATCACAGAGCCCCCATGTCCAGCAGGTCAAGGAGAAGCTAGATCCAGACTTGGACGACGTGGAGATTGACCACGAGCGCAAGCATTACGAGGCCCTTTCTGCCACAGGAGGTGCCGGATTGCTGCCGACTGCGCAGCTACGAGGTGGATGAGCAAGAAGAGATGGAAGGGCAGTTTGACCTCCAAGCTTTGGTGAAGAAGGTGGAGGTCCGAAGCCAAGTTGATTTTGAGGCGACCTGGCACGTGGTCCACCACCTACCTTGAGACTGGCTCCAGGAACAGGAGGAGAGGCGAGAAAAGGCGGAAGAAGCAGGCCCCGCGGATCTATGTCAGTTTTCGCTACAGTGGATGTTTTCGCAGGTGTTTGCAATCATGCGGCCTCGGCAGGACAGGATGTTGATAGCGACGATGGGCTTCACGACATGAAGAAGCCCAAGAAAAAGAAGGCAAAGAAGGAGAAGGCAGCCAACTACCAGCACGGCACGATGGCAGCTTTGGGAGCGCTTGTTCGCAATGCAGGTCACGCCGGAAGGCATCATCGAAAAGGTGCCGGCGACAATACTTAAACATGTTTCATCATGGCACCCTCTGGCTTCATAAGCAAGGCATTGCTGCTCATTGAGCACACTTTCGTAGCAAGGGAGTCCATCAAGAAGGCAGCATCCGATATGTCAAGCTGTCGAGAAGCCTTGAGAGAACCGCAGCCCTGGCACGAGGACTACTCGCGACTTGACGGAAACTTCTGTGCTAGAGACATGGACCCCCTCATCAAACAGTGGGAGGCAGCTTGCCTGCAGTGCCAAGCACGGAGTGCAAGCAACAGCCCGACCAAGTGTGGAGCGAGGCACCTTGTTGTGAAAGCCGAGTGTGCTATGTGTGGGGTTATCCTAGCCACGTTCTTGGTCCACGTGGCCCCGGAAATTAACGAGAGCCGACAGCCCTAGCGTCTCCGTTTTACCTTGTTTAGCGGTTGTTCATGCAAGGGCGGCCATTCTCATACAGTAGCATCCGGGGGGCGGCGAAGTGTGGTGAGAGGATCTATGACACGCGGCTCCACATATTAGTTATCTAAGTCTTATTTATTGGATGATATCGAACCAGCAGTGCAGCAGGGGGGGGCTGGTGTCCGCCCTGACGAGTTGCCGCTGGATGTTCACCTTGCTACCTTGCCATGATTTTGTTCAGGCCTTGGAACACTTCTCCGAAGCCCCCGACTCTCTGTGCCAACCTGAGCCCTGAGCCAGCGTGGAGCAGTGTTGCCCGCTGTCCTCAATCATTGTCGAAGTGGGTTTTGTACGGTAGCCATCCATGAGGTGCAAAGAGACGTTCGAGGTGATGCTTGCTCTGATACAGAGGGGAGCAGAGCTTCTGAAAGAGCCCCGCTCTTACACTGTGCTTGTGCTGTATTTGTAACATCTCATGGTACACTCGGAAGCTGTGCAGCTGTCCACAGCGGCGGATCAGCCCAAGCATGACCCAGGAGGGCACCTTGAAGCAAGCTCAGGTTGTCACAGAATCGGCTACAGCTGACTGAGCTGAACAAGGCAAATCTGCGGTGCTGTCTGCACGTCGCATACTCAAGTCATCTCAAGTCACGTGTGTGCTTCGAACTTCCCCTTGATGCAGTTGCACATGTGCGTGACTGCAAATGCATGTTCCGTGCAGATAATGACTCGAGTCACCACGCAACGCACCCAGCCAGCTGCGCTTGTTGTTTGGGGCTGCTTCGATACACAGCATTGCGGCAATCAGGCATATGCATGACAGCTTGATGTATTGCATGCAGGGACTCTACCACTTGCATGCTTCAGCATGTGACTTACATGGTTCGAGACCCCGAAATCGACACTGAGCGGCAGGGCAACCATGACAAGCGTCACGAGACACATTCGATAACTGTGTCCACCTTGGTTTCAAAGTCCAGCAGACAGCACGACCTGGCGATGTGAATGCAAATGCTTCGAAGCAGCGATGAAACTCCGCCTTCGCATCCAGACAGCCGTGGGATGTGCAGCAGTTTGTTAGCAGCATGTTCGTCGCTTGGGCATCCCTGTGTAGAGGAAATCATGTGGAGATTGATGCTGCGTCTTCAGTAGTCAGTAGCCGATCTTCCTCCAGGCTTCCGCTTCTCTTCTCAACGTCTTATGGACTCGCACAGTGGCTGTTCAAGACTCTCTTCGTGTTTGCCCGACGGGGTGGACTCTTCATTATTGATCTGAAGATTCATCTTCACTTATTACTGTTGCGCTTCCACATTGAACCTGTCTGACGTGAATGAAGCTCGAAGCGCTGAGAAGCCCTGCATGCTCAGGATTGAGAAGAGGGAAGATTTGTGTGAAGACGCCAAGTGGGCACACTGCTTGGCATAGCGCACGCAGCACTGCCAGCTGATTGGGTGGATGCCCTGGCCCGTAGAAATTCCTGAGGTGCACTCGTTCATGAAAACGCTCTGAGGGAAGCCATTGTAGCCGGTGTCCTCACCAGCCTACAGTTGAAGTAGGGTCTCGTGGTCATGCGAACAGCGCTCGGACTCGACCGAGCTCCAGGAGGCAAGTCCGAGAAAGCTGGCTGACTGGCAGATCAGCGATGATCTCCCCAGCTATGTACAAAAGCTTTGGCTCTTGTGATTGGGGCACGACCAAAAGGTCCCTCCCTGCAAGAAAACCGACGATTCGCTTCACAGTGCGCAAGTCCTAGCTGCCCTTGTTGCCAGAGAAGTCTGTCATGCCCTAAAGACCCCTTGTCGTGATTAGGACGACTGCTTGTTGTGCCCCGCACCTCTTCTTCGCCGACAATTGTGCATTCAGTAGCGGAGCTTAAAACATGAAGAAGCAGCTAAGCAGCATGTGTCAAGATGCGGCATACAACATTCGACAGATGTATCGGGACAGTATCGAGAAGCCGAGGCATGCACTGATGAGAGCTTGACCACCGGCACAGGTACATCTAAGAACAATAAGTAATGTGTCGTGTCAGTCTTGGAGTATGACTTGAAGCCGCTTGCTGCTGCCGCCCCTGCCTTGGACAGATCAGGACTCGGATGTTGCAGGTTAGGCCGAGGCAAAGCATTGGACAATGTCATGCCGTCCCACGAGGTGCGTTCGGGGAGGGCATGGCACTTCAAAGGTTCGCGCCCCAGTGAATCAAGTACATCTTGTGCTCAATGCAGTATCTAATTTCGTAAGGCCAGCACTGAGCTTCCAGAACTCTTCCCTTCCCTTAGCAATCATCAGGGACCTTGAACAAGGAGAGCAAAAACACCTCACCAGGTCATCAGTTTTTTTATGCCCGAGTCTTCGGAATAAGAACAACCGTTGGCCCATAGAGTTTGATGTGGGGGAATCGGTGAAGATTATTTTTTTTGCATGCCGGATTTGGGCGCAGAGGATGCAAGCACACGCGGGCGTATTGTGCCTGTGAGCCGCACATCGGCATCTGCAGTTTCAGCCTCAAGCTGCAGACGCCTCTTTGTTCTGATATTTGTGGCAGACTGGAGGTGGACGTGAAAACCGTCAGACATGCCACGGTCACCAGGAAGGGCACCTGACCTGCGAGCTCTTCTGGCATGCGCCAAGGCCTCGATCGACCCGAGCGATTTCGTAGAAGCATTGAAGCCCCAGATGGAGCAGTGGGAAGCCAACCCGCAATTTGCGACAAAGACTCTCAGCGAGCTTGGCAGGATGAAACATTTCGAGATAGTGGAGCGTGTTCTTGAATGCATGTGCTTGAGCAGGCTGGAAGCCAATGTGTACCATTACACAGCTGTCATTGCAGCCGGTTCGAAGAGTGACAGCTGGGAGGTCTCCATTCATTTCCTGTCACGCATGCAGGAGGCCGCCAGCATACCCAATGAGTACAGCTACAGTTCAGCAATCACAGCATGCGAAAGAGGCAGTCAGTGGAACCGTGCTCTTCTGTTGTGTGCAGAGATGAGGGAGTCCATGCACCCGAATGAAGTCACACTTGGAGCTAGCATCACTGCATGCGCTCGAGCTGGGCAGTGGACCTTAGCCTTGCAGTTTCTGTTTGAATCGGAGCTCGCCGCAGTTCAACCAAACACTATCTCGATGAGCGCGGCGATCACATCGTGCGAGAAGGCCAGCCACTGGCGACCGGCTGTTGCTTTGCTCCAGAGCATGATCAGCAAGGGCATTCCAACTGATCACATCAGCTACAGTGCAGCCATCAGTGCGTGCGAGAAAACTGGGAATTGGGAGATGGCTTTGTCAATCCTCACTAATTCAATGGGCTCATCACTTGCCCCAGACAGCGTGAGTTTCAATGCTGGAATGAGTGCGTGTGCTGCAGGCAGCCAGTGGCAAGCCGCATTGACACTGTGGCATGAACTGCCCAGGCATCGAGTACTCCCAGATACAATAGGGTTGAGCGCAGTGATTGTTGCGTGCGATCGGTGTGAGAAGTGGGAAACTGCACTTGGCTTGCTCAGACACGGATTACATTCTGCTATGATTCCGGACACGATTCTATACAACTCCGCCATTCATAGCTGCGAAACGTCGCTAAAGTGGAACCTTGCCCTTGCACTCTTGTGCGAGATGCTTAGCCGCAAGATTGCTACAAATGAGATGAGCTATCGTTGCGTCATCGGTGCATGTCGGGGTCAGCAGTGGCATTTGGCCGTTGACTTGTTTGCAGAAGCCGTGCAGACGTTTCAACCTTCTGCAATCACATACAGTACGGTAGTTCTGTCCTGCGTGAAGCAGGACCAGTGGGAAGTTGGCCTGTTACTTCTGCAGCGCATGTTGGCAGATGTAGGGTTTCCTCAAGCACCAAGTGCTTTTGATGGACTCATCCACAGTTGCTACATCAAGGGCAAGCTGGTGATAGCCGCGAGGCTTTTGCAAGACTGGGCTGCGGGCGTTGCGGTCTTGTGCCAAAGTCTGTAGAATAGGTGAAGTTGTGCAAGAACCAGCAGGGGCGCACAATCACCGATTTGACAGTTCAACAGCTGGCCAAGCTAGCTTGTCGCAGAAAAAAGCACCATGTCGCCTGCATTCGTTTTGCCAAGCTGACACATCGAATTGCAGATCAGGTTCTTCAGAAATGGCGCTGCGGCCACGCACCGCCCAACGGCAAGGAAACGACTGCGACGAATGTACTCGAGTGAGAAGGCCAGCCTGTCCAGCCGGGTAGTTTGGAGATCAAGAAGGGAAGTCACTTCTCTCTCGCCTAGGTATTGGTGCTCAATAGCCCTGACCTTCCCAGAAATCAGCTTCGAGGAATTGATGGAGGAGCTGGAGCCACCGCCCTCCGTGTGCCGCCATCTCTTGCTGGGCGAGTCTGAGGCCCCGATCTGTTTAAATCAGACACGTGTTTCCCTGCATGTGCGCAGTTTGCTGTACTCTTGGGGCCTCGATCCTGGCTTCGGCTCGGTGGCCAGCAACGTGTCGAATGACGTCTTGTGTCAATAAGTATCGGTGTGCCGCGGTTTCAGTATGCTCCAGTTTCTTGGATTGTTGTCCGGCTGGAGATCTCCTGCAGAATATGCCATGAATTCAACTATCCTGACGGAGCTGTTTTCTTCTTGGTCGTTCGCGCAGTGCAGTTTCGACGAAGGCCTGCTTCACTCTTTCGCTGCTACCCCTACTGCACTCTTCTATTGCATCACAGCCCCTCCTACACGGAGCTCTGGATTTTTCGCAAGCGGTGATCGAAATCAGCATCCTGATCACTCCCCACAAGGATTTTCAAAATGTTTCAATCATTCAATACCGACGGCTGCCTTCTTTCCCGCAAATCACCATGCACGGATGCAAAGCAAAGCTGCCAGGCGAATGCAGCTTTCAAAAGCGGATCGAACTTGCGGGAACGCCATGTACATCTGTGATGGACAGGATGGCGACATGACAGTGGTGGAGCGCCGCGTCAGTCTGAAGGATCCAGTCTCGCGTGAAGCTGATTTGGACAGATGCCTTGAGTCACAAAGCATACATCCGGAGAATTAGCAGATTAGCAGAAGTGGCATGTCAGCCCGCTGCAGGCTGCAGCTCATGGAGCCGTGGACTCGTGACGGTGTCAAGTGTACACAAGTCTTAGGGAAGCCTGGGCCCATCTCCGGTACCTCAGGTGTCCCGTTAGAGGGCCGAACTGTGATCATCTTGAGGCCAGCATTGTAAGCAGACAAGTCTACAGTTGACCCCTCTCACCGCATGTGGATGGGTGGGCGGGTGCGACCGAGGCATTTGATCGACGCTCTTACCTGGACTTCAACGAGATGATGGAGCGGGACAAATGGTGCCACAAGCAGATCAGAAAAGTTCAGAACCGTAAGTCAAGTTGCTTCAGCCTATCCTCGTTGAGGTGCAAACTGACTCGGAGGTGGCTTTGCCCGTGGTGTGCCTTGGTCCGGCATAGTGTACGGATTCGGACACCTGGCCACATGGAGAGCTTAGGTCAGGTTCCAGCCAGGGGCAAGGACCTGGTGGAGGCTCCGGAGTTCAAGCAAGTGCCCAGAGCTCAGGTTCCAGGGTCCCGAGGCTTTCCAGAGCGCTTGTGTCAAGTTGTGTCAAGTCGACTTTCAGTCGCTGCAGGCTTGATGAGATGCGACAAGCATGCTCCGACGCGTGCGATCCTAAGTGCATCAAGCACTCGGAAAGAATGTGCGAAGACGGCGAGACTGAGGACTTATGCAATAGTACAGCAAGATGGATCGCTCAGAATGCCATTTGTTGCAGCAGACAGGAGGACTGGCACTGGAAGCTCCCTTGTGAGTAGCTCTTGATGCTCCCTGTCCTGTGCTCATGTTAGTCAGGATCCAGACCTCGTCAATCAAGCGCAAGTCTTCCTCCAGCGTCAACAGCTTAATCCTGCAAACCTCTCCTGAAGCGGTTTTAGGGAATCGTGCTGACGTGCTGAGGTGGACAACGTTGACACCTCCAGCGACGCGGACTCTCCCAAGTCGCAAAGTGACCCGCTTGCAGTCGCCAGAGGCTTCCAACAAATTTTGGTAGCCGTGCAACTGCCGCCGCAAGGTGTGACAACATGTGAGGTTCAGGACCTGCGGTCTCCACAGAGGTGGACCGCTTTGCAGACTGGCATGTGCAAGATGTTCCCGCCGGCAGATTGCTGCGAAGTGAGGCCCGGCAAGCGAAGGGGCGACGAGCGAAAATCTGCAGAAGACGTGGAGCGGAGTCAGCCGAGCCCGACTCACCCGACTCCCTCTATGTCGGAGCCTGTCCGACCCGAGCCGCCCGCGGGGCCATCCTATAAAGAAGCAGATGAGATGCCGAGGCAGGGCAGTAGAGCACGAAGACAAGACCCATCTGTTTCTGTGTAGTTCTCAGGTGTGAAGCTGTCGAAGACACTTCATCCGGCAAGGCTTGGCGAAACCCGTGGCACAATAGCACTCACTACAGTAGCAGTTGACTAGCACGGACGAACAAGTCTCGAAAAAGATGGTAGTATCTGCCTGCTTTAGCAGGTCGAGGAAGTTGGCTCTGTCGAGGAGGATCGTCAAGATGCCTTTCGAGGTCTGGACGATAGAGCCAGGCCTCAACACTTCACGGCTGTTGAGTCTCGAGACGGTATGCCTCCGGGGCACTGCAGTGCATCGCGCAGGTCGAAAGCCACCCTCCGATCTCCAGGACAACTCAACAGCAATAAAGCCATGCCGGCATTGGCATCGGCCAAGGCTGTGTGCTATGGCCGTGGTCGTGAGAGATCTGTGTACTAAGTAGCTGCACGTGCTAGGTGTCCTCCAAGAAGAGTCGGAAGGCAGCCCTTGCCGCAGCGAAAGTCCAGTACCCAGTTGCCCTATGTTTGGCCAATGTAGCGGCGCGCCCCTTCCCCTAAGTTGTGCTTCAGGAGGCGTCATTGATGCGCTTGCCCGCAGCCAAGTTGTGGCAAGAATGCCAGCTAAACTAATGTTTTACTGTTTTCGTGTCTTTACGAACAGAGACTGTTTGGAAGGAGCGGCGCAAGCAAGCAGCAGCCCAGCATTTTGACGTACTGTGGCGAGCTTACCATCGTTGTGGCCCGGTGCTAGTAAAAGGTCATTCTCCGCGGGGCACATGACCTTGCAGGATAGGTCCAAGGAAGGTTTGTACTCGCAGTGCCAGCTTGGGAATAGAAAGGTGTAAGACGATCAGAGCACCACTGCTGCTTCGCGTGTCGTGCGGCTGTGGGAATGATTAGGTCAACAGCTGGCACGCTGCACGGCCTAGCAGGCTGGACTCACGAAATACACCCTGGCTGCAATTTTGTTTGATTTCAACGGTTGCAAGATCCTCAGCGACTCGCATAGCATCCTGTTGGAACATGGGGGGCCGATGGTCGCACCCAAGAATCAGCCAGCCCGTCACAGGCCCCAAACAAATGGTCCCAGCCAGGAAGCTTGGCCATTTCTGATGTTCCAGGTCTTTTGAGGGAGCACCGCTATGATGCAGAGCATGGGGGAATGCATCACCTGCATCGAGCGTACGTCGGAAAATGAAGTCTTGCCCTATGCTTGTATCTTTGTCACTTCTTGAACATGTTGCAGCTGCCAAAAGAGATGCTATGCGACGTTCAGCAGCTTCAAACAAGCTGACAGCTCCACCTCCCTTAGACTTCTCGTCGACTCCCTATCCTGCTTGCGATGGCAAGACACGGCAGAGGTTTGTGGAGGCTTGCAGTCGTCAGCCAGTGTGCCCTCATTGTAGTTTGGCAGCTTTCCGAAAGCTTCGTCCAACCAGCTTTCAAGAGAAGGTCAGTGTCAGCTGCTGGGGCATACCACACAGCGCACACAGTTAGACGTGCAGAGGGTGCGGATAAGAGCGCTGATGCGCCAAATCCTCTTGTGGCAGTGTGGCGCTACATTGGTGGTTGGTATGAAATCCAAGAATCCGAGGGCAAGCTCTACTTTCAGGAGAACAACCTTCAGGGTGAGCTTGTAGAACAGGACGGCTGGCTAGTTGCGGAGCTCCCCCCTGCGGGCACGATTCGCCTGAAGCTCGGTGACTCGGGGGAGGAGGTTTTGTCGAACTTCAAACCAGCAGATGCCGAGAAATGGGGTGACACGATTACCGCTTTCAAGGAGTGGGAATCTCTGACCAGCCGGGTGGAGTCCCTTTACAGTGACCTGGACAGCTCAGAATTCGAGGGAACGGCCATGGACGGAGAAGTGAAAGTGAAAGTCAACGGTCGGCAAAGGCCCGTCGACCTGTCCTTCTCCAAAGCCGCCTCAACCTCGAAGGCGCTGGCTGCGTCCATCGCAGAAGCGCACTCCAGCGCCGTTGATCAGTCGATGGAAGCTATGACTGCACGGCTTCAGGAACTCTATGCATCACATTTCTCTGCCACCAAAGCCTGAGGCAGCCTGAGGCAGCTCGCAGTAGTATACCATCGAGCACATGACCGCGGTCTTGACCAAAAAAGACAGGCTTCACAGTCAAACATGTCGCCACCTGTGTCATAAAGCAAGTGGTGCAACTATGCCCTTTGTCGCCGCAGACGTGTTTAGCCACGATGGGCGGGCAATGTCTAGCACGCGCACGGTGGACAGCCCCGGAATCATAGGATGGGTTAGTCGCGCCGCCGCCTAAGTGCCTAAGGTTTTGCAAACGGACTTACAACCAGGCGGCAAACCACTAAGGTCGATGACAAGCTGATTGACAGCTTGCTTTTCGTGCGCGCGGACTCCGGGCACCAACGCCAGGCAAACGCGAGCTGACAAAGCTGGAATCAAGCATCGTTGAGATGTGGAAGCATGTCCTGGTAGGCCGACGTGAAGCAGCTGCAGCCAGGTGGGTGCGGCCGTCCCTGCTCTGCGCTCTTTCGGAGTCTTCCGGCGAGAGAGGCCGCATTCCTTTGAAAGTCCCGCTCCAATGCAGCCCACTCAAGCCTGTGACGGTGCAGACCTTGGCTGTACGGCTTTACCGTATGACATGTTCGGCCGTCCATCATCAATCTGACTTGGCAATTGACTGACTCTTGTGCACAGTTGCAAGCATCTGATCGTGGTTGTGCCACAGGTCGAGGTCAAGCTGATGCAGCGGATTGCGAAGGTTTGGTGCTGCGCATGCTCAACAATTTCGGAGCAGAGGTGCACGTGAAGGTTTCGAAGCCTTCGTCAAGTGCTGGAGGCCCGCATAGCACTACCCGGTGGCGATCGGTGGGGCCCTTAAGCGACATATGCAACCCAGCATGCATGTGGATTGCATCACTATGTCTAGGCCTTTTTTATGACTTCCATGTGTGCACCGTAGGTGTCTCGGTGGTTCCTGGAAGGTCACAGAAATTCATCGCCGAGTTGGAGCCGCTCACCGGAGGCTCTTCGGACACAGAGAGCTCTCCCTTTAAAGAAGAAGAGGCGGTGCTGCTTTTGCCAGAGGAAGGTCGCCTCCTGCGATTCACTTCCAGGCGGGGAGCTCGCGCGTTGGCACGTCGCTCATGGATGCAATGTAACGAGCGTCGTCTACTTCTCGACCCGATTCCATCGCGATTTGTTGCGATCTTCCTCGATTCCGGGGGGGGGGGGGGGNNCTGATCCCGGGGCATACGGCGGGGGTTATAGGGTTCAAGATTCAGGCCAACCCTAACCGCTCTGCACCTAGCCCTCTAGCTCCAGCCCTCAGCCTCCAGCTCCTCCCAGCCCACCAGCCTCCTCAAAGGGCTAACAAGAGGAGGGCTGGTCGAGGCTGGGTGGAGGGTTTGTCAGTCCCCGATCGACCTGATTGATTCCCGATGTTGCTGTTAGTTTGCCGAGCATGATCAGACGAATAAGACTTGAGACGTTGTTGGGATTTCGCTGCTGAGCTTGAGAATGTTGCATTCGTCTTGGCCGGAAATCGACAAGCATGCCATAGCATGCCTGTACATTCTGTGCAGCTGCCCGCAGTGTTTGACACCGTCGCCTCCGTTCTTGCGTAAACGTCCTGTTCGACATGGCTGCGTCTCGGGCCATTTCGGATCCAAAGCAAGCCGGGTCTGCCCTTGTCCTGCCCTGGTCCAAGTACTTTAATTAAATCATTCCAGACCGAAACATGGCCGAAACCCTGTTCAATTAAGACGCCAAAAGTTGTGGGAAAATCGCACCCTTCCGTTCTTGCTTTCCGGACCTCCTGAGCTCAGGAGGCTTGGATGTTTCCAGGTGTCAATCTTTTCGAACTGCTTGGCTGCCGCGTGGGCGACTTAACTTTGAGCCTCGACCTGCTACCGAAAGGCAATCC